AAACATAACAATAAAACAACTGACAACTGAATTGATGAATGAAATGAATCGATTTGAGTTTCTTGGAAAAGGATATGTTATTATTAGTGCTTCAAAAATACATTTACTTCTCGATTGTGATATTGATACTCTTATTGAAGAAACATTAAGAGAAAACGACCTTGTAGAGAGGCTCGAAGCTGAAGCAAACATGGATAATAAAGCCGAACACAATTTGGAAAAAGTTGTTGAAATAGATTTCGAAGAAAAAAGCGCAGTAAAATATGTTATAAACGAAAATGAATGTACTTCAACAACTGAAAAAACAAAACTAATCCACAAAAAGAAAACAAGAGAAGGATCCGGACCATTAAGAAAAAGCAAAATATTCAAGGAACCTAAAAGAGCCAAAAAATAATACCAATTAAATTTTATATTTGTTTTGTTTTTGAATAAAACGTTGAATTGTTATTGAACTTTTATTGAATATTGTGGACAGTTTTCACCGAGGCCAGTTTTCTTAAACCCAACATGAGATAGTGGAATATATCTTACAACAGTAAGTTACAAATTTGTTGATTGTGACACGACATGTAATGGGTAGTGCAACACCATAACGGTCATCTACTCAAGTTACACAATAAATCATAATTATGATGGTCCACCAAAACATTATTTATGTTGAATGCAAATTGTTTGATGCAAATTGAATCCATTCATATAAACTGTTTTTCAAAAGTCTGTACTGAGGTGTCCCGATTTTTTGCATTTATTTTGTTTATTATTTTTGGGAATCGTTTTTTGTAATAAATTCGCTTATTTTTTTTCCAAGTAAAAAAGAGAAAAACAGTCTTCAAAAATATTTTTTTACTTGAAGAATTTTTAAGCATTAAAAAATTCCATATAAAATTTGAAATAACGGGATTTTTGTTTTTGAAATACACGTGAATGATCCCAAAAGTGCATTTTAGTACAAAAGCAAATAAACTTAATATCAATTTTTTTCATTTTCAAACATTTCATTAATTAATTAAATATTCACAAAACAAAAGCTTAGTTCGAAGATTAGTATGCTTAGTTGTGTTGTCACAACAATAACTGAAATATCAAAACACAAAATTATTAATTGTTTGCT